TTATAAGTAGTGCCAGAGAAGTTTATGCTGTTTAGCGTGCTGGTGAGTCGACTTCTCACTATCCTGAAATTATTCTCAACAATTTTAACACTCGATTAGGTCACACGTGAGTCTCAAGCTTCTGATTGCCGTTATTTCTGGGTCAGTAACTAATTTTGGCCAAGTTATTCTTGTGTTTTAGCACTGCTAGGATGTTTGCTTGTTTGTTCCCACATGATCCTAAGTTCACTGGGCGTCGTGTTGTAACTTTCCACAATCAAAGGGACTACGTCTTCTTCCGGCATCATAGGTGTGTATCCACTTGCTCAATGGAGAGCGCAGGATTAGGATGAGTTTTAGGTACGAATTCAAAAAGGAAGGTGAAAAAGCAGCTTTGGTTGAACTGGGCCCACGTTTTACTTTGCGACTGAAGTGGCTACAAAAGGGAACCTTTGATACGAAATGGGGAGAGTTTGAGTGGGTTTTGAAGGTAGGCGTTAGTTTGAATTTATGTTTATTAGTTGTGCTCAATGAACGGAAAAAATTCACATTTCAGCGTCACGAAATGGAAACTTCACGGCGAAGATTTTTCTTATAAATGCAAGAATATTATTCACGTCCTTTGTTGTTGTTTTGTTATTTGTTGAGTGTTTGAAATGTGGAAAAATATTGTATGAACCAAAGTTAAAAATGCTACGACGTTTTTTTACTTGTGATGCTGTCGCAGTGTATCTTAGACTATATCGCTTAGATGGTGCAATCGCCTTTCCTTTTCTTATTCTTCTATAGGGCATTGAAGCAACAGCTAACCTCGAGATGTTGTCTCGAAGCTTGGCGGTATCAGCAGCACGACACCTACGTGCCAAAGGACTAATAGGGGGAAGCTCTAGTCTTGGTCCAGTTAGGTGTGTTAAACTTTTAGCTTCTTCGTGCTTTTCTCTTTTTTTCTTCAAAATTTTTTCTGTGCTTACTACAATATGGTTACATTAACTCATTCATCTAGATACCGCTTTGCCTGGGGCCAGGACGCGTTAGGTCCACATGTTCCCGTTGGAGGTAAGATGGGAGCGCAAGAGAATCCAGAGCTTCACACCTGGGATGGTGAATATAGAGGGACCCCAGAAAAAGGAGACAAATTGATTCCCGAGTATGACGGACATTTTCCATTTTTCTTCTACATGTTTTCATTGTATTTATCAAGCGAGTAATCGCAAGCTGTCTTCTAGTTCTAACAGTACTCTCATTTTTTCTCAGTTTCTTCTATCGCACACCAACTATGGGCACCACTTACATTGATAGATGTGTCACCTACTTTATCTCCGCTTTACTCTGTGGTTGGGTCACTTATCACATGTACTATCACTCTGGACATCTATTCGTAAGTTTTAAAATTGTTATGTCTGCCACTGTAAAAAAAACATTTGGTAAGCATTTTAGGGACATTGGTACATGCCATACCTATACGAGTTCTCCGATGAAGAACTTGGAATTCCCCCAGATTCAGCACCTGATCCAGAATACTGGGGAAATCATGGCAAGAAATATGGAACCTATCGTTAACATTTTTTTGCTAGTGCATCGACTGCTGTAGCTAATGATACAGATGTTCTCTCTGATCATCTTGTTTAGATATAAAAATAAATAGGTCTATTCGAAAGTCTCATGTACTCGTTAGCAAGAAGAATAAACATCTTGCAAAGAGGAAATATGAGCTGGATTGCTGTCCACACACATCTACGGATTTTGATGCTCGACTAGACGATAACAGGGAAGAGTTTATCCATGCGCAGTGGAAATCTAGAGGTCCGTACCTCTTCACAGGGATCTAGGTGCGCATATTGAAAAAAAAAACTTTCTTGTTCGACCACGTACTGGCCAATCAGCAAGTATAGATGAGGTGTGATTGGGGTCTTGTGCGCTTTTTGCACTTGTTTCTTTACGATGCCTCTTCTCATAGTTGTTGAACAGAAATTGTTCAGTTTTCAGAATGTCTGAGTTGTGTTTTGAATCTTACTTTTAAGGATTGTGAGACAAGAGTTTCTATTTTAAATGTTTTAAATGCATACAAAATCTGATCTTTTTCTTTCAGCTCAAACTTGTGAGAAAAGTGGCAGCAGATGATCTTACTTTGTGAACAATATACTTATGTATATGGTTCACAAATTAAGATCATCTGCTACCACTTATGTATATTTCTTATAGCGAACAAATAGTTTTGGGATATCTATTCGATGAACTTCAAAGTTATATTTGTGTATTTGAACGAACTCAGTAGTGAAAACTAGAGGGTGTTCCAAAAATGTGTTCTTTGTTATAGTTAATGACTGCTAGACTTCCAGTCTTGTCTGAGTCATTAGGGGTAAGTCTAGAGGTACTGTTAAGAAGCGCTGAACACAAAATCAGAAAATACTGAAAGTAGAAGAGCCATGTGCATTAACTTGCCTGCGACCGCATCCAAAAGGTTCAAGGATATCGAGGTTTGCTGAGAGTATCGCCCATCTCTTGCCCTATCCTTGATTACTCGAACGCAAAAGATAGTCCAACTACTATAAGAACTGCTTTAGACTGAGGCTTTTTCGTGGTTTCCTTGCATGTCTTCGGCGAAGGGGTCTGATAAAGCGACACCATGCCGGCAAAGTGTTTATCGTCGCTTTGCAGTGAATAATAAATTCGCTGGACGGAAATAATAGAGGCAAAATTAGTGAGAAG